ATCCTTGTTAAGCTAATTTCATAGGAAGCAGGAATTTGTGTTGGTGTTTCTGAATTCTGTATAAAGCCCAGTGTTCAGAAGAAACCATTCAGTAGTCCCAAAGTGTGGCACTGTTTAAAATCAGTTAGCACTTACAGATAAAATTCCATAACCACCCAACACAGCACAATCAGTTGATATATGGTTAGATATTAATTAGCAAGGGGCAGATAAAAATTTTGAATTTCAAGTACTTCTGAAAGCACCAAAATTTTCAACAAGCAATGAGAACAATAAGCTGTGTTGTATCAAAAGTCATGCATGTGATGCCATACAGGAGTCATGTAATTATTAAGATAGCTACATGCATTCCTTTTAAACAAATTGTAATTTGTTCCTGAAAAACAAATGTGGAGAAAAAATACATGATCCAGGGAACTTGTGTCTGGATAAATTGATAAATCAATCAAAAAAATTAATTTGATTAATTCAACCTGTGGAATTTGGTTCCATTTGAGAGCAAGTATATGCAGACATATTTTATGGAAAACTCAGGAATGCCAACATAATTAAGAACAATGAAAAAAAATTCTTTGCAATATTTCTTTATTTTTCTTACTAGCACCTAATAAACATCCACAATCTACTTGTTACTACCTTTATGAAATAATTATGCCCAGTAGGGGTAGTGGAGCACGGATACAGTAAATGAAATGAGGGCACATGATACACACATGAGGAAATGCAGAGCACCATTTCCTGTGATAGACAGGGAAATGGAAAGAGGTTTGTCTTCCCTTGAAACAATGACTGGAGATACAAAGCTCAAGCCGAGGGAGTTTTTGGCTTGGCTGGCCTCTGTTTTTTTAACCTCTACCATGATCACTGAGTTCCAGTGTTGCCATAAAAACTGAAGAAAAAGTTAACTACTCCTTACCTGAGCTACAGCAATTTACCATCTATGTAAGAAATGAGCCCAGCCCCCATATTTGTAATTATTATCTATTAGACATTCTACTTCACAGCAGGGATAAACATGAATTTGTAATGCCATGCAGCTGTGAGTGGGTGTTTAGGTGATTACCATGGCTGACTGCTCTCTTCAAGGGCTTGCCAGGCCAGAGCTAACTGCATTCAGACTCCAAGATTTGCAGTTTCATACTCAGCCCTTCCCTTCTATCCTGATTGACTTCCCTTTCCAAAGCAACAAAGCAGGAGGCATTCTTCAGTTGCTTTCAAGCTGCCCATTCTGCCCAAGAGCTTGAATGCTGACGGTTTCAACTATGCCTTAGGACTCCCAAAATGCATTCAACTAATACCACAGCAGCCTGATTAAATTATTAATATAAGTTCGTTTGATTCAAGAACTAAAAATGTTTTATTGGTCATAAATATTTCTTACAATATGGTGACTTCTGGCAGAATTCCTGATTTGATCCAAAGCTGGTGTTTCAATAAGAAAGTTGTAAAAGTCAATTTCAACTGTCATTTTGGCAGCACATTCACAAAGCACAGCTTATCATAGAAATTATGACAACAAGGTTAAAAGTTGCTTTTGTTTAAATTATGAATTATTGACCACAAAGTGATCTAGGTCCTCTGCCCAATATGCTCTGGAGAGAATTATCACCCTGACTGGCTTGGGATGAACAAAGAGCACAGCTCAATATGCTGGGCCATCTTTAGGCAAATTTTTAGTTTCTCTGTAAGACTGTGAGTAGAACCCAAGGTCAGCTGGATTTGAGGATGTGCAGAAAGCAGAAAAGGGAATGAAGATAGAAAAGAAAAAAGGGTGCATGGTGAAACAATAGCTAGAGTGTTATTCTGGATCACCACGTGGTGCCATGGAGCCATTCATAATCAGACCTGAATATGTCCCTGACCACTATAGATTACACTGAAAGAATTACTTTAGGTAGTTTCAAAAGAAACCAGTAAATTCTCTTATATGAGGAAAGTTTTTCTTCTGCCTATGCTGAACTGGATGTGATTTCCCTGTTAGCATAAAAGTTCCCAGAGTGTGTATGTGTATATAGCAGCAATTCATTTATACTTCTCTCTGTGTGTTTATTTTCATGGCACATTCACATTCACTGGTTATTTCTGAGACTATAATACATCTTGGGTGTTCTGGCTAAACTGATGCTGCCAAAATTGTCAGCAAAAAGACCGGAAAAGCTGATGAACCTTAAACTTTACCCCAAACAACGGCTCAGTTGTTTCTTCAGGATATGGAAGAGGCAGAAAGTCCAAGCAAGAGAAGCAGTAGGAAACCAGGGAGGAAGGATAGAAATCTGTCTGATGTGGATTTCACAAACCTTTGTGTTTGATATTTTAGAGACCCTAAAACAATTATCCACAGTTATTAGCATTTTTGGAGTTATAAGATATTTGAATATAAAGGAGAGGTAGTTCAAACTTCAGTTCAGTGCTCTGCTTATTCACTAGTCTTTGCTTTCATTTTGCTTAGGAATTTAATATCTTTATAAATGGTACCAGTAATGTTTTCAGGAACATCTAAACACGATTTTTGAAAATTATCTTATTGACTAAGATCTCCAAGGGTATGTGCAAGATAATTTCTGACAATTTTAACATGAACAAACTGAAGAAACAGCTCTTCAGTTTCTCAGGACTAGTGTCTCTTGTGCGAATGGAACTTGTGCTAAGAGCTGGTTCGGTATTTTTACCTTGTATGCCATATAATTAAAAAACTAAATATATGCATAGAAATAAATACTACCATGGATAATTTTTATTCACCTCTGTGGGTTTGTCAGACCCACATGGACAGCACTGTGGTTTGTGGGATGTTCTAGCAACTCCTACTAACATCAAAAATACTTGGGCAGCTGAATCTTCATACCCCACACTAAGAGTTTGCTACTTGGCACTACTTTATGTGCAGATTTCATATGCCCATATCTCTGGTTATTTGCACCAGGTTTACTTCACTTTCTTGCCATCTTAAAAACGCTTTTAATAACAGCTTTATGCTATTACTTGCTGAGCTTCTCTGCTGTAAAATACAAATACAAATTCTTTGTATTTAGAAAGAAATTATGAAGATGAAGATATGGTCCCTGCCCCAAGGAGGCTATAATTAAAACAAGACCAGCATTATAGAAACATATATTCTAGCTGGCCTCTAACTGGATGGTCTGTTTAGTTTTGTTTTGACATATTGTATGAAGCAGCATTTAACAGATGTTGGGAAATTAGCTCTCTGAGCTTCTTGTATAAACTTAAAGCAGAGATTCATGCGTATGAATTAATTTCATCACTGAATGTGGGTATTAATGTCAGCAGGCATTTTTAAATGTTTGTGCCTATTCTGCTGTACTTTGAGTCCTCCTTGCCAGAAAATATAGAAACTTCTCAAGAGAAAGTGCCTCAGTTGTAGCAATACTTTATATCACCATACTGACAATTTTCTTCTGTTGAGTGAATGTTGCCTTGTACAAGCCCAGCAGTGGAAAAAAAAAAGGGAAGAAAAGTGTCAATTGTTTCCTTACATACCCTCTGCAAACAGTCTTGACCAAAAAAATCCCCCAAAACCCCAAAGTGGAAGGGTGTCCCTGTGTCTTTATGCCAAGTTATCCCTCTTCTTGTCAGTAATGTTAATTTATCATGCAAATCCTGCAGTTTATATCATTATGGCTGCTCATATCCCTGCTGACACAGCACACATCCAGCAAGGTGACAGATTTTCCCACTGCTCCTCTTTGCCAGGAGAATCAAGTGTTGAGGATTAGATTCTCTTTTACAGCTTCCAGGGCAAAGTGAAACCAGCATGAAGGGAGAGCTGACAGAGCAAGGCTTGGCCCTCTGTGCTGTACGGGCAAGGAAACAAGGCAGCCAGGCAGAGAGTGGGTACAAGACCTGGGACAAAGCCTAAAACAGGATATAGTTAGAAGTGTAGCTGACAAACTGTCACAGATTTTATAATTTCTACCTATATTTAATGTATTTTGCGTATCACATCTGTATTTTTTTTTTTATTTTGTGGCCTCCTTAGTTTAATTTTCATACATTGAAGTCTTAAGTGTTTCTACAACAACAACTGTGCTTTTAAAAGATCATTTCACACCCACCCCACTCAAATTACAACAGACATGCAATATTAATTTAGGGAGAGTGGGCACAGATGTTATCAAAATCACCCTCTTACCTGCCAACTCCACCAAATTTTCCAGTACTTGGATATTTTCTTCCACTGATGTGTAGAATTTTATTGTAATGTTCTCTGTGCCTTTTTTTTCCCCTCAGATGTTATATTCACTTACTAAACCTGCATATGGCTCCCTCCTCTATCAGCTGTCTGAGCTAAAACAATACTTCATGACAATCACTGAACTGAAAAACAGCTCAGAAGATACTGATGTGATCAGGTGTGAGGCCAAGAAGTTGTGCTGAGTGCTAGAAGAGCACTTTATAACCACAGTAAATCAGCATTTGGGCTAGACAACACGGCAGAGAAGTGATGTGATGTGAAATATGAGCTGGGGAAGAATGCATGAGAGGGAAGTGAAAAGGCATATTTAAACTGGATTTTCATTTTCCAGTGTTAAGTGTGAGTTAACCAGTCAGCTTTTCTTTGCTGACTCTGAGTTCTCTACTTCAATACTGTGCTGCTAACACACAACTGCACAGCAAAACGTGCAGATATGAGCACTCTCTGTGCCTCAAGCCTGTGAAAAGCTATTGTAACACAGCACTAAATTTGGACTAATGCACCCTGGCCCTCAGCAAGGACTAATAGCTCAGGATCAGCTTCATGCTAACAGCTTTTGAGCTGTCTGAAATGGAGGCAAAGTGAGTTTATCTTCCCACAATGTACTTTGTGGAGATATCCATATTGGGTTGAATTGGGAAGAAGCATTGAAAGCTTTTTAAATACATGACTGAGCCATACACCTACAAAAAGCAAAGTGCATTGCAAAGGAGGGAAACATCACTGCCCATATTTATGATATGTGGTATTAGGACATGAAAAAGCAACACAATGATCAGGTCTGGGGTGTGGTTCAGGCCTCCATTGCCTTATCCACCAGAAATATTGTGACTCAAACTGGCAGTAGCAGGATTGTTCATATTCTCCATTAATATTCAATTCCATAATTCTTTATACTAAATCCCGTGTTTATCAGTGTGTAAATGGATAAATTACAAATGCTACAGTGCACTCTAAACAGCCAGATTTTTTCCTAGTTTAATACCTACAGATTCAAATCAGAATAATGTCAATCTGTTGTGAAAATGGAAATAATTTTAATTCCTGTAAATTGGTAAAAGCAATAACAGTACCCCTTGCTTGTCACACATCAAGTTTCATGTCTTTACAAAGAAAAATGAAAGAGAAAGCTCCTAAGTTCCTCTAATTATGCTTTGGTTACAAATGACTTAATGTTCTAATTAACATAAAGAATTGATTGTATGCAATACACAATGTCCTGCGTCGCTCTGTCTACCTTTGTGCTTAACTTTATTTTCCAAAAACATGATATAACATTAATGACATATCCGAGCTTCAAATTCAAGTCTGTTTTAACTCGGTTTCCATCTGCGGCATTGTTTCAGGGACTCATTTGGCTTTAAACAGCTCAGATTGTGCTGTTTAGAAACATGTGCTGCCATCGAGTGGGAAGTATTAAGAAGTGCAAAAAAACAGATTACTAAAACACTTGGGAAACAGGTAAGCATCTATATTTGTTATCGTGAATTATATGAATTATGAATATTTATGATATTATATAAGAACTAGTAAAAAATCTGTGGGTTTAACACTGCTAATGGAATCAGGAATATTGATTCAATCTTGTTTATTTTCAGCTCAAGAAATCCTTTCCAATGAGAACAAAATGATCAAAACACACCAAATTAATCACCACCAAATTCCAACAATACCAGGTTTTTTTACTCATTTCTGTTTCTGTTTATCTCTTTGTTTTTTCCTCTAAGTCTTTGCAAAACTTGGTTTTGTACAGGGTGTATTGCTTTCCTTCCACTCGCACACACAAACACTTCTACCCAAAACATCAGCCAGCCCAGGCACCCTGCCCACACAGTCCTCATTCTTGCATGAGTTCACACGAAGCTTCATTTCAGAAATGGTTTTGGTTTAAGACTTCTTCTTGTTTCCCACATTTGACCCAGAGTTAAGAGACTTAGAGTTGAACTAGCTGCATCTAATAGCAGTAAAAGTCCACAATGGCCAAAATAGAAACACTGCAGTGCATTAATGAAGTTTAAATCTTACTAAACTTAAATATCTACAAAACTTTATATACTAAACTTTAACATCTGAAAAATATAAGCAGACTTATTTCAATCCATTATGAAAATGTGCAAATTTTTACCTCTGAATGTTGGACTATTAACAGACCCTCCAGAAAAACATCACACATCATGGTAGTTATGCTTACATAGAAAATGAAAGGAAAAAGTGAAAGAAGTTCCTGAAGATAATTTCCTCTATGACAGCACATCTATAATGTAAAGGTTTGCACATGAGGAGTGTGATTGTAAAGCTGCCCTCTGCAGTACAGTCCCTCAAAGCAAACCTGCATGTCACAGCAGCATGATCTGCCTGCTGCTCTGAGATCCTCTATGGCAAATGCCAGTTAGCTGAGGCTGCAGGCTACTGACTTTATTTATATTGAGTAAAGGTAAAGCTCTGTAAGTCTTGCCTGTGGGCTTCAAGCAGATTATTTGGGAACAGATCTTAAAAATATGTTTGGACCAATCCCTTCTTTTGTGAAAGTTTAGTAGGTTTGTTTTAGAAAACTTAGAAAGTTTTAACTGACCTTTATAATCACTGAAGATCTTTGGAATCTTTTATGAATGGAGATTGGTGTAGTATTTTACTTAGGTTGTCACTTTGTGCAGAAAGAGACTGCTCTTGTGGTACAGTAGGAGAGGAAATAAATATATATTTAACTAAATAGGTATAATGGAATGCCATACAGTAGAAGGTTCTCTGTGATGCTTTTTCTGCCTCTATATAAAAACAGGTAAATCTATGCAGTAATGACATCTGTTTTCCAGGTATTTGCATTTTATATTTGGTTGATTTTGTTTTTAAGAAAATGTGAGTTTCTGCTGAAATTTCTACCCTCAAAGGCCTTTTTTTTTTTCATGTGGATACTCTTGTCTAATTAGGTAGGAATATAGAATACAATTTTTTTTCTTGCTGGATAAACTTACAGCATATAATATTTGTTTTCTGCTTTGGCATTTATTTTCATCAAACTTGTGGGCACCCAATTTTCTTTGACAATTTTACCTTACTCTCAAACTTGTTAGAAATTACTATGGATTGAAAAATGCTGTGGGTGAGAGGTAAACGGAAATGGTGATGCATGGAAAAGGCTGTTGTAAGTCTCTAGTCTCTATCACTGTGCTCAATTTCTTGATTACTTGATATTAAAGTGTTTAGAATACATGGAAAAACATAAAAAACTCAATTTATATCCATGAATTAGAAGATAATCTCAAGATAAAAAAGTCACACTTGTGATTTAATAATTGGCAATGTTGTGCTAGACGGAGTGTGGAACAAACTCAACAACCAACTTTCTTTCAGATGAACTTTAAATGTCAAAGCATCCCATGATAACTTTGCATGTGTTTGGTTCTCAGTGTTTTGGAAACTGTCCACTCAACCTTTTAAAAATTGTGACGCTGGTTTGGCTTTGGAAAAATTGGTTAAATATACTCTGAGAGCCAGTAGTTTAATGAGAATCTATTAGGTTTCCTGGGTTCTGAAAACTTCTGTCATCAGTGAATGTGAAAATGGAAAAAAGAGCCTTTCCTGATTTACAATTTTTGATGTGTTGTTCATCAAATTTTCAGAGTTTTTTGCCCATTATAACCCATGCAATATTACTAATGGCAGCAGACTTTAATTTCCATTTTTAAAATAAACATCTCTAAAACTGAAATATAAACAGAAATAAAAAATAATCAGTCTTGTCAACCTCTCCTGGCTGTGGTCTTGGGCTTTTATATCCTCTGTCTTTTCATGAAACTAATTTATTCTCATACCCTTCTGGGAGAGCTTTGGGTCTCTCAAGCATTGTACCATCTTCAGGACCAGGATTTCCTGTAATTATCTCCCAGTAATTCTTATCTTCTTCAACTTTGCGGGAGTCCAGGTAATTGTGACAAATGACTTCAAATTCTCTTCCAAAATGAGACCTACAAAGTCAAAAGAGATGGGATAGTCAGGGAGAATTTTCATATATACAAATTCGGCAAATCTTCATTACTTGTGAATTGTTCAAGATTTTCTCATTTTTCTTTTGGTATACTCAGAAATATCACCATGCACTTTCAAATACCAGACCCTTAAAAGAAACACAATAACCTGCTTTGTTTCCTATGAATAATTTAGGAATGTGAAATCCAAAATAAATGCCACCTTTCTAGCCTCAGAGCTAAAAGGAGCCCCAGCAGAATAAGGCCCTAATACACCAACTCAAATTTTAAAACTGATTAGGCCCTCATTCCCACTTCTCTCAGACTGAGGAGGATTCTGGCTACTTAATAACCTAGTCAGCCTCAAACTTGCAGACCTTTCATCCTCGAAAACTTTACACAAATCCTCAGTCCAGTCTTGCTAAGAAGTTAATGGGAAACATTGGTGTATTCCTTAGCAGTGTCTAATCAAAATTAATTCAATGCATCCATATTAACTGAATTGACAGATTAACTTCAATTTGTTAAGGCATTGATTCAGATGGACATAAGCATCTAGAGTTTTATGCACTATAGTTTTATTTACACTTCTTAGTACATATTTTTTTTCCTTCAAAAGTAACCCATACAACTGACATTGCTCAAGATATTCAAAGGGAGAAGCACCAAGAAACCAGAGAACACTAAAAGCATGATATGATAATTAAAAATGAAAAAAAAAATCCAAACTAAGACTGATCCAACTGTCTCCAGCAACACAGCAGCAGGATTGTTCATATTCTCCATGTTGCAACCAAGAAGTAAAATAAGGGAAAGGAGAATGGCATTTTACATTATTTTCCATTTCCTCAGAGCATTCCTAAAGCACTTTTCTTGCTCCTCAGAGTAACTCTTGCTTTGGCCCATCCCGCACACACCCCTGCCAGTTGTAAGTTACTCTTACCACACACAGAAGGTCCTTGGAACAGCTAAGTTGCGGTTGGTGTAGCAGTGAGTAATAATGATTTTAGTTGCTGTCTAAAAAAAAAAAAAGAGTAAGGGAAGACACTTGACAAACATTTCTAAACCTATACTGTGAAAAAAGACTGTCTTTAACAATTAGTTAATTTTGACTGTGTTTATTAGTGAGCTTATTAATGTAAATGAGTCTTAGTTCAAGGCCGTGAAGGAACGATTGTATTTGTGCTACTCTGTCATACACCAGCACTTCAGGAAGCCTAGCAGTTATCCGGTACAGGAAAATACTGTATTTACAAAAGGTTGAAAATATTTGGAAAATCATCCACTTATTCAGATGCCTTGAGAATTTTATTAGACATTTAATGTACAGGACCTCTTATTTAATCACATCTCCAAATATTGGAAATGGAATTTACTGTCTCAAAAGGCCTGAAAGTAATGCACCCTCACAACATTATAATGTCAACCTTTGAAAATTTCTGATGAGAAAAACTGAATAAGTCAACCTCAAAATGAACAGTAGAAACAAACATTTTTATAAGCAGATTCCTAATTAAAGAGATTGTTCCTTCCCTCTCCCCCTTCCTAAAAGAAGAGGTCAGAACTGGCATATATGTGAATAAAATCGACATAACATTTTTTTCTCAGTAGTCCACCTGTTTCAATTAAATTTTCATAACATTTCCTACAGTTTTAGTTTCTTACAGGAACTGGAAATCCTTCATGTTCAAGACGCAGTTGTGGATCCAAGGACTTTGCTTGCCAGAAAGTCAAATAGGAAAGCTCAGCTGTCAAAAATACTTTCTGAAGGCGAGATTTTTTAGCAAAATCTCTAAATGTTTTGTGGTCACTTGCCAGATAAAACTGTAAATAAAAATATGTATTAAGGACAGTATTAATGTCAAAGAAACAAGATATGTAATTTTGAAACATATTTTTGAACAAAAGAACTTTTCTCCTGGCTCCTGACAGATCAGTCTTCCCAGCTAAAACTATGCAGGCAAAACCCATAGAAAAGATTCTATTCTGTTGATAAACTCATTAAGTAGTTATTCTGTATACAAATTTGTGAATACTAATTTAAAATTGAATTTACATTCAAAATATTTTTTTCTCACCAAAGTGATTGTTGAGAAGGAAAACTTTCTCAAAGTTGTGATGATTTATTTTGAGTGCATACATACTCATGTAATGCGTTTTTTGCTTTTATTTTGCAGAGGAAAAAAATGCTACCATTTAATAGAAATCTGCTTCCTCAGAATGATAGAATAGTGCATGACTTCATGTGCCTACTATGGATTATCTTTGTAAGAAAGGAAATCTTCTCATTCTGGAGTTTCACAGAATATTCTGAGTTGGAAGGGACTCACGAGGATCATTAAGTCCAATACCTAAGTGAGTTGTTCAAAGTGAAAAAACCCTAAAATCTCCTTGAAGAATTCTCTCATTATTCACAATCTAATTGTGATTTCTTTGTCTTTCCTTTTTTAGATTTTCTTTTTCAGTCATTCTGGCTAACAGCCCCCTTGGCCTGCATATCTGACCTCAGGTAAGTAGCATAAACTTTCTAATTAGGTATTACTTAATCTTGGTCTATGCACAATTCTGAGCTTGTTCTGTAAAACTAAGATGTTGCACACCTAAGAGAGGGATTCAATGCACATTGCCATTTGCAACTTTGTTGCCTTACCAGTTTGTCAGAAACTCCTCCTTTTGTCCCCAGAAGAAAGTTTTGCCCGTATCTAAGTGGTTCACCCACTGCACTTCCATCAACACTGTTAAATTTGTAAAAAGGAAAAAAGGTACATTCAAATCATCACTTTTACTGTTGTTTAGGTTTTTTGTCTGTTTTCATCTACGGTTAGATGTTGCTTTGTGACGAAATTTTGTATTGTTAGCCTTTTAAAATAAGTAAAATATCTTAACCTAAGGCAGAGCCTTTGACTATAGAGCAGGACCCTGTTCTGTTTCTTCTCCAACAGCAGCAATTAAATATATATTTGAAAGCAAGAATATGCTGGGTTTTTTAGAACAGAACCATGTCCACTTCATAGAAAGCAATAGCTATGACATATATTTCTGTTTGCAGGAGAGTGAATATTAATACTAGTGATATTTGGACATGCTTTGTCTGCAACTGGAATGAAAACAGCTGCAGAATTTACCAAATGATACAGTCAACTTGATTCTGTCTTCACACCTAAGCTGATATAGAGGTCCTTGGTATTAATCAGAGTAATATGCAGCATAGAATCAAGCTTAATACATGACTGAGGACTCTTTCTTAAATTAATTTTACTTCTATTCCTTTGTATATTAGCAAATTTCATTGCATATTTCTCAAAACAAGATACCGAAAGCTAAAATAATAATTGAAAACAACTCAGAATAAAGTAGCAGACCTTACAATACAGAAAGCATTTCGACCTATGGGGTCCACCCTCTTGACTGCACTAAGTCCACGTGAGATCTGCAGGGGCTCATCTGAGTACAGGGGCACTTCTTCCATGTCGACAGCCAGAGTCACATCACCACACAATTCGGGGTCCCTCTCCTCCGAGGTCCCTCCCAAATCCGAGGATTTGCTGTCTGGGTTCATAAGCAGCACGGTGTCTCCAAAGTGAACAAATCCATCAGAAGATACTGACAGCTCTACCTAAATTAGAATTTACATAGTACTTTACAGAATTATCTGAACCTTGCATCACAGGTATTTTAGTATATAAATTCCCTATCATTCTTAGTGCATGCAGAACAATAATAGGAGTTATGCCACTCTGTGGGGGTCAGGGGGAGGAGAACACAACCCTCTTTAAAAAGTACCTTCTTGAAAATATTCTCTTGAAGTCTGGCTAATCTCTGTATTAAAAGCTGTCCTTTCTCTCTCTTACGGATAAAATCCCTCAGGAGGTCCTGTTGGCAAAGGAGAGAGGGGCAGATATGTTATCCAGGAGCAGATATGTTATCCAGCACCCACAGCCTCGCGTTTAAAGTGGATTTGGAGAGCCGGGGGGGGAAGCCCTCAGCGGGGAAGGCGGCGATGCCCGGGACCGGCGGTGCCCGGGGCCGGGGGTGCCCGGGTGGCGGTGCTCGGGACCGGCGGTGCCCGGGTGGTGGTGCCCGGGGACGGCGGTGCCCGGGGACGGCGGTGCCCGGGACCGGCGGTGCCGGGTGGCGGTGCCCGGGGCCGGCGGTGCCCGGGGCCGAGGGTGCCCGGGGCCGGCGGTGCCCGGGGCCGGCGGTGCCCGGTACCTGCTGCGCGTACTCGTCCTCCAGCCAGTTCCCGATGCGGACCCCGAGGCGGTAGGAGGCCATAGCGGCCCGGGCCGCGTCCCGCGTCGCCGTGGCGACCGCGCCGCGCCGCGATTGGCCAGCTCGGGGAGGGCGGGGCGGCGATTGGCCAGCCCGGGGAGGGCAGGGCCGCGATTGGCCAGCCCGGGGAGGGCAGGGCCGCGATTGGCCAGCCCGCGGCAGGCGGGGCGGGGCCGGAGCGGCGCTGAGGGCGGAGCGGGGCCGTGAGGGGCGCAGGGGTCGTGGAGTGGGAGCGGGCAAAGCGGCGTGTGGGTGATCCCGTCCTGCTGTAAACCCAGCACTGCCAGCTCCTCCCGAAACCCTGTCCCCGAGTGCACGCATCTTGTAAATCCCTCCGGGGTTTACAACTGTGATGGACAAAAGCTCTAACAGTTTAAAGTTAGAAAGTGAATGTTTATTCAATGCCGGGCAGCGGGAGGGATAGCTCCCAAATACACACTGCGCCTTCCAGGTGATTACAGAGCCCTTTTATCCATACAAGTATTGAATACCCAAAATAAAAATACATATTTATAATTTTGGTACATCCCATTACCTGCTTCGTATGCTAATCGCTCCAAAAGCTATTAAGCATGCATAGTTTGTTCCTTGAAATGGGTTGGTGTCCCTTTCATGGGGAGGGGTCCCAAAATGAGGAAGTAAATGAAGTCTTCCTCGTTCTGACTTTTCTACCTTTTCAATGCAAACATGACAAATGAACTCTTGGTAGAACTCCCATTCCTTGTCTTCAATTGGTTTCAGAACAGAGGAGGCCTACAATTGTATTATGCTCCTAAAAGCTATTTGTCAGTTTCTATATTCTTCATTATAAACCCAGCTAACTAAACATTGTGCTGACAAGCAATCAATTATTAGTTAACTACTAATTCTTAAGTTCATCAAGGCCTACTCATTTATTTGAATTAACTCTAGTAAGGCTTATCTCTAACTAAAATCTTAGCTCCTCTAAAATCTCTAAATTCCTTAAAATTTACATTTCACCCGGCTGTGGACAGGGACACCTTCACCAGACCAGGTTGCCCCAAGCTGACCTTGAGCCTCTCTGGGATTGGGGCAGCCACAACCTCTCTGAGCAACCTGTGCCGGTGTTTTACCCCCCTCACTGTGACAAACTTCCTAATGTTTGAGGGAGTGAACGTATCAGGTGAATGTTTTGATTGTAAATGTTTTGCTTTCTTAGTATCTTGGTTTGAAATCTACACGGCAAGTTAAGCTAAGTGACTATGCTGTGTGTTTATTTTCCAGATAGGCTAAGCCAATGATCTTCAGAGGAGGTGTAGATCCTTGCACAACACATTTAATCCCTTTACGACTGTCACGGTATTCTTGCAAGCTTGCTATCCTAAGGTTTCAATGCTGGACAACTTACAAAGACTAAAAGAAAATGTTTTTCTGCGTGGACAGCTGGGCTACATGTTATCATCAGGCAGTTTTGACAGTAATTCACGTGAAACTTGGCTGTTTTCTGTTTGCTTTTTAAGCCAAAATTTATTACTCAAAAAGTTATTTAGCTCATCTGAAACTTCAAAAGACCAAATGCTATCCATTTTTGTTCAAATAGCACCACTCAGTGTTCAGTTAGGTAAGTGACACTTCCCTACACATAGCTCTGTTGTCAGCAATGCTGAAAGTGTGTAATTAAAGAAATTTTGTTCATCTTAGCTGAATGTTAAAAGCCAAACACCTTTTTCTTGTTTCAGAACTAAACCACTTAAATCAATATTCAGTAATATATTATTGTTATAAAATCATCTATTATAGTTTCCCGTGACATTAAGAGTAGGTGCACTGTCTTGTTGTAGCATGTAGCTAATATAAGGAATTCACAGCAAGCTTCCAAAGTTTTGTAGCCTTATGCACTGTCAGTACTTATTTACTTAACACGTCCTGATGCAGAGAGAAGTATTTGTACTAAAATGTAACTGTGTACAGGAATATCTCCAAGCATCTCTTAGTAGGATTATGCTGAGAATCCTTGTTACCTGAAGGGTTTAATTTCTGATTACGTAGTATTTCCTGTAAACAAACAAAAAGAGCTGCCTCTAAAGATGTTTGAAAATTGAACATCTTCCCTGCAGGAGAGGTTACAGGAGTTCAGCTCAGTTTCCTTATGTGCAGATAAAATCTGTGTTTACTCCTAACCGTTGTTTGCTTTATTAAATGGTGTGAAGAAAAGCTGTGCTTGTGAACAATTGATCTAAGTTTTGTGTGTCAAGTTATGCCAGAATACAAATTGATCAGAATTAAAAGTCCATGTGATTTACTGAATACAACAATATTGCAGGGGTTTTTGTGTTTGTTTTTTTTTTTTAAGTCATTGTAAAGTAAAATTTTAGCCAGCTACTTTCAGAGACTGTTCCACTGTCTGGAGTTGCAGATCTTTTACTCTTTTTATCTTCTCTTTTTTTTTTTTTTTTTTTTTTTTTTTTTTTTTTTTTTTTTTTTTTTTTTTTTTTTTTTTTTTTTTTTTTATGAAAGATAACTAGATGGTTGAGAAGACCCCAAATAGCACATAGAGCTGTCTAAGCCTTTAATTTAAGGCTGGGCTGGTTAGACTTTTGATTCCCTTAAGCTTGTCAGAAATGTGTGAGCTAGAACATATTTTAAATACTTGAAATTATAAATGCATTAGTATATATCAGTACTACAAATTATCATGTGTAGTCCAGTCTGGCTAAATGACAAGGTCTGAATGGCTGTGAACATACATTAAGTCCATGAAATATGAATGTGATCTTACTTAGAGAAAGTGGCAGAGCAAAAAATATAAAAAATAAGTCATCAAATCGCACACATGTGGGATGAGAATGATTTTAATACCTGCCTTTTCTGCCTTGGGAGTGTGTCTATGGGTTTTTTCTTGTTTTCTTTTTCCTTTTGAAAACTGTGAGTATGCCAAATTTGATTAAGAACACAGACTAAATAATACTGCACAAGAGCAAATTGTTCTCTGGGACAATTTGTCTCCTTTCATGCTGTTATTTTACACTAGCACTATTCTGACACATGCTATGAATTAGTTTTCTGTACTGTTATTAGGTCTCTGACTATTAAAGTGATTAATCTCCTTGTTAATAATATAATGACAGTTTCTTATTCTAGCCTGTGCCCCAAACACTCCTCTCTTCACAGAACAAAAGGAATTAAGTAGTTCATGTGATATGATTTAAGGATTGTTGTTTTGCCACTTGTGGTGATGCCTCCCATTTTGGCTGTGAATTTAGTGTGGAGTTTTCTTGTAATGATTTTTGCTGGGAAGCAGTAAACCTGTTCATGGTACATTATTTTCTGAAATGTAGCAATTCATTAAACTGACCTTTCAGTCTACCTTTTACAAGGAAAAGGAGCAGGATTCTTGTGTGCCATATTGGCAGTAAATTTGCTAATAGAGGTACATGAGTGGAAATTTACCTTACATGGAATCTGGTTAAAGACATCCAAAATGGATATTATTGTTCATTTGGTGTTTTCTAACAAAAAGATTCTGCTGGAAAAAGAGAGAAGGGGAAGGGAATAATTTGCAATGTCTCTAAGACCACTAAATACTTGCCAGTTTATTTGGATTGAGTTATCCACATCTCCATGGTGTTTTCTACTGGTTTCTAATTTAGACTTGTACAGGGCATTTCCTTTAGAGAAATTGTATAATGAATATTTTTTCTTCAAATTGAGATGTTCCATCATGACTGACAGTGCCAGATTTGAAGATTTTCTCCTCTGCCTGGCTGAATTCTGTTCAGCATGTGGACTTGAAAAACCACTGGAGTTCTGTATCTCAGAAAAATATTGTCATTCCAGAAGCAGTAATTTATGAAAAGAATATAGAAATTTTAAAGTATGTCTCCAAGAAAAAATACTGTATTTTTCAGAGATCTGCATTAACTCTGAATCAGCTAAAATACTTACATCAGCAATAAATAGTTTAGTGTGAACAGAAACACCATTAACAAAGCTCCATTTGCTTCTTACATTTATCTCTTCACGGGAATGTGCATTATGTATGTCTACCCTTAGGCAATTTAAAAATTCTTATTTTCCAAGCTGTGGAGTATTTCTCCAAGGTGTCTGACCAGAACAATGAGATTGTCTATATCGCTGGCTAAGGAAAAGTCTCAGCTGACTTTCTTTAAGAACTGCTTGTTTGGGACCTACTTGAAGAGACTTGTGATGTTCATCCACTTCCAAGGTGGGGAGTGCATTGCATGTGCTGAACAGCAGGGTTCTGTCATCAGAGCAGGCACTGACACAAAATCACTGTGACTGAGGCATGGTCCTATTTATAATGGGTGGAAACCAGGTCACTGTCTCTTGTGGTCACTGATCTGTTTAAACTTTAGTTTCCATGAGTGCTCATGCTTGAGATTTTGAAATTTGCTTTTTGTTAGCAATTTTTGTATGTAAAAAGCAATAGCATGGTTATCTATAGAGAAAAAAAAATAGCCCTAATCTCCATGACTTAAGCTGACTTTGACTGTGTGAGCTGTTGAGGCATAAAGTCCTGCCAATGTGAACATGCTGCTCCTGAAACTGGAAGACAACATTTCTGCGTGACCTCTTGTGACCAGACCATTCTGTTTGTTCCCACTTTAGGGCTATCTATAGATAGTGCTCAGGGTTGTCTTCGCTTCCCTTTTTAGCCTTGCCTGCAGCCTGATTCCTCTCCTTTATTGTGAATTGCCTATTGGATCAATCATTGCCCTGTGATGTCATTTCACACAAGTGATGTCACTTTCCTCCTTTTGGATTTTACTTCCCTTGAGGATAGTGTTAAAGAAGACACCAGTCTGTTCCCTTCATTTTCCATGGTGCAAACATATGCTCCAGTCCTGAAGCAAAGTAATGATGTACACAAATAACACTGGAGATACGGGTCACTCTCTCTTCAAACCTTTCTTAAATTTGTTTGCTAGAAACTGTATCCCACTGGCCCCCATTAGAAGCTTATTTGTGGTAGTTAAGGTTTAGAAATAAGGAAATTATAAAGATCAGAATACTTTGGTTCCCATGAATCTGTGTTACATAAAATGAACTGTCTAGAAACAGGAAGAGAAACTGATTTATGTATTTATACCACAAAACATGAATCAGTTAAATATTTCTGGCAGAGCAAAAAGGAACGTGATGAGACTCTTTTGTCCTAAGGGGGAAAGAACATGTGTATTGTAATTGTTTTTAGCATTTTCTGCCACCATTCTGCTATTTATGGTTTTGAATTGGCTGACCCTACTCTGGCAGTGTATTTATGTCAGACATCACGGCCTACAGAAAATATTTTATATGTCTGAACACCCTGGCAACTGTTCTAATTTGAGACTCAGAAC